CCCTTGAGCCTCCCGGGCAAAGGAACCCCCTTGAAACGAACGAATCCTTTAAGAGGAGTTTGGGGGCGGCCAAAAAGATATGCACAGCCGCTGCAACTTGCGCCCCTAGTTGTGTTGGTACTGAAGGAACCCCCCTTTCTTGGATATGGGAAGCTAAAAGGAAGCCAGCTCCATTTAGTTGTTGGAGTCTCCTTCTGACCCTTTAAAAATGGTTGGTCATTACCCCAAAGAATGGCGTCGTGACCCCAGTCATGGAGACTCCAGGTTGTTGTCTTGGTGTTTTGCTTTGGGGGGGAGGGTCCCAAACTTGACACACGTGACAAATCGAAGTCACGCGAAGGAGTGTGATCCTGCGGATCGCGGTTGGAGACCACTGTCCTCCAAACAAAGGGGCCCATTTGAAGATTCCGACTTTTTCCATGTCTGTGGCCTAGGCAAGTCACCGTCCCTTTGGTGGACAGACTTCGGTGGGGATCCTCGAACATGGCATATGCGACTCGGCATTTGCAAAAAAGTTGATCCAAACTTGCCTAAACGCTTGGCATCATGCAGAGGTCCACAGCAAAGAAGTCACTGACCGCTCCAAATGGCTGATGTCATGTTGTCCCCAATTAAACCCTACAGTAGAGTTCTTGACATACAGCCAAGACACACAAGTGGAACTGGACAATGAAGCCGCAATCAACAACCAGAAAAGCCGACACTGGTTAATGCAAGCACGAGTCTCACAAACAGCTGTTTGCCTCTCGCGGGCAAGTGGTATGCTGCCAATTGCATTCTGCCAAAGTGGCATTGTCTTCGCCCAGGAGGAACTTCAACTGGAGGGAGCCAAACCGCGAAGCCTGGCGCATCGAATCTGGATTCCTGACGTGCCAATTCTCGGTGGAATTCTGTTTGGGCAGGTTTACACCCAAAGAAAGCCACCCTAAGTTGCCCCCCCCCCCAACTTTTAAGACATGGACATGACTGGCAGGCGCCCGGCTTCTCGGAAGCAACATACCATACCCAAGAGTTGCTGGGTCTCGCGGAGCCTAAAGGAGCCTAAAGGAGCAACACAAATTCTGATCAACGATGGCTTCCTCTTGACCAACTGGGAGTGTTTGGTAAGGAATCTGAAACAAAACAAAGGCGCTACCACCATGAAGTCTTTTGCGGGGAAGTCATTATAAAAACATAAAGCTGAATTGCTATACGCAGATTGGAAATCAGGAATGCCCCCCCCCCCCCAGGGACCTTCACAGGTCAGCTTGTAGCAATATGTGAACTCATGAGTTGCCAAGATATGATGCAACGGTGCAGTTGGTCTGCAGCCCCGGAACAGAATTGTCCCTGCTTGGAAGTGCTTGGCATACGTCCAAAAGCAAACCTCTCTCGGGACCTTCTCAAAACAAGGTCGACAAAAGCGCGTCTCAACATGGACTCTGAACCCTTGCTTGCTGGTGCTCTAGGCAGGGAAGGAGAATTGGAATGACCCCAAGCAAAACCATCCAACTGGTGGTTTGCGGTATTCGGGAATCCCGAAATCCGGTTCATTCCAATTCTCCTTCCCTATCGCAGCAAGTAGCTTCCTTGGCATTTCCCACCAAAATCCCTGCATTTCCCCAGGTCCCCCCCAAAAAAACCCACTCCCGACTGCGGCGAAAGCTCGTGACAGCTCTGTCTGCCCCACCGAGCGCTTCTGGCAAATCCGGCGGCGCCTGCGGGGACTCTTTGGGCTTGCGGCCCTTCCAGGCGGAGCCCGGGGCAAAGATCCTTCGATTCCGCGCCGCGTCGCCGGCACCGCACCAAGCCACAACCACGCCCCATGAGGGCTCCATGGGTTTCTGCCTCTATACCCCTTCTGAGAAGCTCAACTTTTCGAGGTTTGATACGGAAAACCCATTAGCTGGCAAAAAGTTAAAGTCCTAACATCCACATGCACCAAAGACCCCTTGTTTATGGGTCAAAGGCAGAACAAAGGGGGGATTTTGGGGGGTTACAAACATGGAACCTAACGATCGAAACTCCCTTTAAAAGGACAATGGTCCAAACCAGCAACCCCGCCCCCTGTCGGGCTCCATGTTAATTGGTGGCAGGGTGTATAACTATTGGTCGCTCATTGACAAACCTGAACGCCGTGCACAACTCAAAGCATGAATAATCAGTCCTGCGAGCTGGGTGCGTTGGACCCGTTTTGCTGTCAGGCGCTGTTTGATCAGTGTCAACCGTGCCAATATCTTCGTTGACGTTGGAAGGGGAGCAACAAAAATACATTTCAGGTTAAGTGGGGATTTCCCACTAAACCACAATAAGAAAAATGCAAAATGTTTCCCAACAACAACCATTATCAACCCCTTTGATAATCCCTGAAAGCCCCTGCAAATTGCCAGGAGACTATTCTGCTCTGGGCACGCCATATTTGGACTCCGGGCCCCCCGTTGGTTCATTTGCAGTTGGATTTCACCACCATGGTGCATTAGTTATGGTGCACTGATGTGTTGCTCTTTCAACCCTTCAATCCTAAAGGTGGGCACCGAACGGGGTGGTTCCCCACCTGTCCTTCTGGATGTGATAAGCTAGAATACAAGTCAACCAACCAACCTACCGTGGTTGTTCACCCACGTGGGTTCTGTCCCTTCCGGACTTTGCCTGAGCTTGCAAGCCGGAGTCCGGGTCCCCACAGCCTCGGAAGCCTCCGAATCTCCGGAACCCCACCTGAAAGCTTGCTCAACCCGAACGAGCCTATCTGGACTCCATACCCAAGGGTACCCCAGTAAAGGAATGGCAAGGACCAAATTTGGATGACAACCCTGGACGGCAAACAGTACGATGATAAAAAAAATATGAACCCAACCATTGTTTTAATGGTAGGAACTGAACCCAGGGCATAGCTTTTAGCTGAGGGGAAGGCACGAGAACCCTTGGGCTTGATTTTGGGCCCAAGCCCCGAGCAAAAACGATAAAATGAGCCGATGATTTCCCATAGAAATCTAAGCGAGCTGCGAACTGGCGAACCGTTTCTGCCGACTCCCACGTCCTCCCGCATGGTGCGTCTGTGAGTTGACCTCCAAAATAGTTGTTGTGTTTTTGGTCCTTAAAACAAAAGAATAGTAAAACAAGAGTACCAACTCAAACAATCACAAGCATGTCCCACGCTCCACGTCCCGCCGGGCGTCACTCGGAAGTCTTCCAGGAGATCATTGCTGAATTGCGGGGAGACCAGCGGAAAGCCGCAGCTGGCCTTGAACTTGGCGCCAGGGTTCACCTAAACCGTGCAAACGCAGCCGAAGGGCAAAGCGTGCTGAACTCTGGGCTGGAAATCAGAAAAGTATAGGAAAAAACTGCATAAAACTGCATGAACTAAAATCAGAGCAACAAATCGAAGACGATGACAGACCAGCTAAGGAAAAACATATGTACGTTTGGCAGTCCAGAAAGATTGGCCTTCTGCTTTGTGGAACCGCCCAGATTCCGTTTGAACAAGCATTGTGTATTCACCTGACGATGAAACCTTGATTTAATGGAAAACCCATTTGTTGGCAAAAAGTTAACGTCCTAACACCCAAGCAGAATGCACCGAAGAAACTTGACTGCCAGTTTTCCTCGTACCAAAGGCACGATGCGCCATGTCTCACATCTGCGCGCCGGAGCCAGCGGCAAAAGCTCCGCCAACGGCAGAATCGGGGCTTTCCTGTCAGCTGAGCAAACGGGCGAACCTCATGTCTGCTCGCACGTGTGTGTGTGTGTGTGTGGGCGCTTGCGTGCGTGCCCGCATGGGTATTTAAGTGGGTGGGTGGCTGGATGGCTAGGAAGGGTGTCTATGTGTGCGTGTCTGTGTGTGTGTGTGTGTGTCTGTCTGTGTGTGCGTGTGGGTGTGCGTGTGTGCGTGCGTGTTTCCTCCCCTTCGAGTATGCTTGACGGCTGAACTCAGCTCAATTCATGAAATATGTCGCCATTCCATCGGAGCCCACGCATACAAGTCACAGGCCGGTAAGGAGGGCTGTATCCATCCCAGACATCTATCACCCACCCTTGTGATGCCAACTCGGGCTTGCTCAAACACAATTCGGTTTCGGGGTTGAAAATCCTCCGCAATTCAGATACGGCAGCACCTAGATAGGGCTGCAAGTCAAGGCACTGGCTGAATTTCAGACGGTCTGTGGAGCCTCGGACTTGTGCCTTGCCACTTTACCCAGCATGTTGAGTCCAAAACAGCAAACACACAGATTTGACTTTGGATGATCCAATCCACAGCGCAACTGCAGCCCAGGTAGGATGTAGGACACTCGCAACAAGACTCACATCTTCCGCGTGTTTGAACATGTTGCAAGAGATTGATGTCATAATCTCCCGGTCCCTTAGACCATCCGTATGGAAGCTAAGCCAGAAATATGGTCAGCCAAGGCAGACTGGGAGCTCAACGGAAGCCATCGTGACTCGAGTTCCCTTGAATTCAACACCTGGGCCACCTGGGCATGTTTCCAGCATCAGGTCGAACTGGAACTTCGCGACCCTATTCCGTCGAAACGACGTACAGATTGATCTGAAAAGGGCCTCCAAAGGAAAAATGAGAACCGCCTCTTTGAGGTCTGGGTGACATCTGCATCTGAGTCACACCGGAGTGGACCAGCTCAAGATCGGAGAGGCCCAGCTAGATACCGGCGACTCAGTGCCGTTGGAGGGCGACGCATCAGTGCTGTCCTGGGAGGAGAGGCGGGTACCTGCGGCCATTCGGCCGGCGGGCAGACAGCCGTGGAACACGAAAGCTCAGGTGACATGGCTGTGGTTGTCAAAACCAATGGGATCCCATTTTGGTTGGTAGGTGCACCACCCATTTTAGAACCTATATATTTTAGTGAGGATGGGATGTTCACTGGGGGTACGGGATTTTGACCCATGGCCACATGGACTCTGACGCTACGTATATCTGCCCCTTTGATCCCCTTTGAATATCAGCTGTTGCTCACATTGGGCGCTAGGTAAATCCGGAAAGCACAAGCACCATCATAGCTGCCCCTTTC